CCGTTCTGGAGATAACTTCTCACGAAAATCCATCAGTCTATCTAAACTTTGGTATTAATAATTTAATTAAGATAGATTGATAGAATAAGTACTCATTACTTTGGTATGCAAAAGAAATAATTTACGATAGTGCTTCGAAACTAAAATCCTTGTAATATTTGTCTACGGAAAGAAAATTCTCAACAGAGCAACCTTACTGAGGAGGATTATTTAAATCTCGGGAAATAGAAGATTCTTTTAAGATAGAGTAGCACTCAAGCAAAGTGAAGTAAAGTGCCTCAAAAGAAATATACATCATTGCTGAAATGTACATCCCTGTTTCTGAATAATTCGTGGTCGCGTTGAAATTGGAATAATACAAAAGGTATCTGTTAAAGTTTATAACAATATGTAAATAACTCAACGAAATATATTATTCTGTAAGAAGATTTTGCATAGAAATTGCAATAATTCCCAAATGCATTTCATCTGGTTTCGGTGTTACATTTTTAAAATACTTTTATGTAGCATTTATCCACTTTTCTAGTAACGCTAGTGTGAAAGTATACTGTGATTGCAATATGTGTTATTTATATTTGAAAACACACTTTTCAGACTAAGTATCACTCAGAGGGGTAGACAGAAACTAAAACCTTAATTAAATAATAATGGAATTACTATAATTTAAGAGTTAATAATATAAACATGTATACAATTATAAGGTAAAATTATAACCCAACATAGTAGACATGATGTATAAAGTCGATTACAGATTCCGGGAAGCAGAAGCTAAGCGACTGACATAGCTTAATTATTTACGTGACATTTATGCCAGGACAAAAGGTACAAAAGGGTAAAATGACGTAATTACGTCTTTTACTTTTACGAGGAGGCTGTGAGTGAGTTTACATATAACGGAAACAACCCGAATACATAATGCAACAGTGACCTTCCGGTTCAATGTTAGTTACGTGTTTCTTTTAACTGAGTTTTCATAGAAACACTTGTTTAAAAATATAACGTCTTTGACAACACACATAACAATATGCTCTTTTATAATTCACTAGTTAAGTATTAAAAAGTTAGTTTTGTAATGTACGGCAGTTTGATACTAAGTGCTTACTTATATTACTTACGGGCGCAGACGCGTTCGCTTTACAAACATATGACATTGTATAAGAGTGTTCTCATCGAACTAGCGGTGGAGCTCGCGATGTAAGCTTTACCGATTTGAACAAGACAATGACGGTCTCTCCCGCGTGTTGGATACCATAAATATTATTTTTACGACAAAAAAATAGTGTTTTTAATCCATTAAAAAATAATTAACGATATGTAACATCAGTTAGAAATATTATTCTTCTCTTTGATATAAATATTTATAGGAGCATGTGTTTTCGTCACACATAAAGAGATATATAAAGCCAGTCGGGTAGTAAATCTAGTTTGACGAGCGACATGAATAATGCAGAGGGAATTTAGTATTGGCATTCAGCAGACGTCAGGCGAGCCTTAACAAGTTCCCTAGTGCTCAGTTTATGCTGAACATGATTGCATACTTTTTTTCTTTTATTTGGTAACATGTGGCCTTTGTTTTATTCATTTTAATGCATAGACTTCATTTGATTATTGAGTACTTTTTTAAATAAAAAAGATAAATAAGTAAATAGCTCATCATCATCATCAGCTCACTATACGTCCCCATCGAGGGGCTCGGAGCCTACCCTAAGTTAAGGGTGATTAGGCCATAGTCAACCACGCTGGCCAAGTGCGGGTTGGTTGACTTCACACATATCTTTGAATTTCTTCCCAGATATGTGCAGGTTGCACCACGATGTTTTGCTTCACCGTAATAACGTCGGATAAATGGCTCACTCCTATTGAATTATAGTATATGATATACGAAAGCCTACTTTTAAACAGTAAAAATCTATGTACCTATATCTTAGCATGTAGTGGAACCGATACATGATTAAGCATAAAGCAAACTGGTTGACCACACAACTTAATTAAGGTCAAAGTGAAACGTGTTTGGGAAACTCAAATTTATGTACTCAACTTGTCCCTTGGTTACGTAAGCTTTATTTTGTAAAGATATATTGTGGTCGTTTCCAATTTTACGACCTCATTGTACATGATAAAACTGCTCAATTATAGTTTGGACTCATCCTTTTAGATAGTAGAAAACTATTTTAGGTTTGAATTAATTGGATAATATAAAATTAGAGATTAATAAAAATAACTGCGCGTTACATGTTGCTACATCATCGTAGACGTTCTACGCAGCTACGAGGCTACGCTTGAGTTAACCACCTTTTTGTTTTTCATTTTTTTTTTAAATTATTTATTAATAAAACACTATCCATATATTAATTTCTACAAGTATTTTTAGTACATTTTATTAAATGGGAAATTAAGATTTTGTACATTTAGAATTTTATGTTTCGTACAAAGGAAAGATATTACGATTGTTAGGCAGCAAACGAACTGATTCTTTGTTAAGGTTAAAAGTAAATGTGGCGCATTGCGAAGGATAGGCTTTGTAAAGCCTTTTGCTAGCAAATTGTACCTTTATCAAAAGCCTCGTGTATCGTATCTTTTGTCCTATTAAATTATAGATACAGATAGTCTGTCCAATAAACGCCATAGTAAAAAAAAAACAACAAATTATACTTGATTTATGTATAGAAAATCAATCAAACTTTCAAACCAACGAATATTCATCTTACCATCTTACTAATATTATAAATGCGAATGTTTAGATGTATGGATGGATATTTTAGGAGTTAAGGTATCTCCGGAACAGCTCAACGAATCTTGTTGAAAATAGTCACAAATGTACAACATAGCCTGGAAGAGCACATAGGTAACTTATTAAGTTTTTTTTTAATTCTGCGCCGCCGAAGTCGTGGGCGATATCAAGTTTTAAATAATGAACGAACCAGCTTTTGTAGGATTTGTATTCAGCGTTGTTAAAGTAATTCAAACGGACTGTAAACGGTTATATTACAAAGGGTGTATTACAACGACCTTTGTTTGACTGAACACAAACGCAAAGTGTTTCTTTGTAACTCGATCAAAGCAAAGTGAACTACACATTGAAATTGAAAACTTTATTCAGCTATATTTTATTTAATTGGAGCTTTAGAATTTGATTTTAATATTGCAGTATAGTATGTACATATTTGAAAATGGAATACAATTAAAAAAAGATTATAATAATTTTTTAGTGTTGTTTTTGTTTTCAACATATTGCTATGTAAAAATGAATGTGCTATGTAAAAAAAATAAAGCCAAAAATTGTCGTTCATTTTATCTTTGCTTAAATAATATTTTATATATTTTTTTTAAATATTAGCAGATTTTTTTGGAAATTTACTAATATTTCTTTTACCATTCCAACTAAGCTCTAGGCTTATGCTAGGATATAATTTACGACAATAGTCGAATGGCGGGATTCGAACCCTCGACCACGTGATCGGAAATCCGTATTCTTAACCATTAGGCTATTGACGCTTTTACATCGTTATATTTTACTTTGCACTGCAATACATTTGGAATAAAGCATAAAACAAAATAGTAGCGTTATTTATTCGAATGTGCACAAAATTGTAATTTATATTTTGCATTTCAACGTGCAAAATTCTGCTTCTACTACTAGCTAAGCCACCAACGTCATAAATTGCAATTAGCGTGGGCGTCAACATGGCTTACAATACACCCACATTATGTTACACTTTGAAATTTTAACAAAATTTATTTAAATGTGAACAAAATTTAATGTCTTTTTCCTTAATGGAATACTTAATCATTTCTAACATGTCATCAGTTTTAACATGTCTATTTTACTTATCTTACTAATGTTATAAATTCGAATGTTTGGATGAATGAACGCTCGTTAAAAGGTATCTCCAGAACGGATGCATGCAACTCCCTGAAATTTGTCGTAGGTGTAAACATAGTATGGACGAACACATAGGCTACTAATTAAGTTTTTTTTTAATCTTCGCGGGCGACAGCTAGAATTAATTATTATATAATAATAGATGTTTTGCCCGATTCTCCGACCGCAGAATATTAAAAATTCTTAATTAGCAGGCTATGTATTCTTCCAGAATATGTTCTCCGTCCATACCAAATTTAACCGAGCTCTATTGAGTCGTTCTGGAGATATCTTCTAACGAACATCCATCCATCTTACACCTGACCTTTTACTTGCATAGTTCATACAAAGTAATTCATAAAAAAAAGTTTTAAAAAGCTAAAAGTCTAAAGGAATTTTTTTAAAAGATACGTCTGACATTTAAAGTCAACGGATGTGCAATTTAAAAGATTAAAACTAGATTTATTTGAAAGAGACTTAATTCACGAATCACAAGTTCCTAGTACTTTTATAATTTAAATGGTATTTATATGTACATGTGACCTTTTAACTTTGCTTTCAAACTCGCCCTTTGCCCTTAAGAGTTTAAATATGCGAAGAAGCTTTCACGTTTGCAAACTTATATTTCAAAGCTATGAATTTAAATTAGAAACATTAAATAGAATATCTCATTAAACTTATTTCACTTAAGTTACACGAATAAAGTTTACTTTTATTATATAATAAAACATATAAAAAAAGGATAAATACATAATTCTAGTAAATTAAGTCTTTGATGGATTTAATTTAAAAATAAATAAAATATTCAGTGCTCTCTGTTACTATTTTAATTAAAGTTTTCACACGTTACAAAATACTAGCTGTCGCCCGCGACTCCGTCCGCGCGGATTTAAAGATAAACATATTTAGTAGCCTATGTGTCTTCCAAACTATATTCTGCACGTATGACAAATTTCAGCGAGATCTGTTGAGCCCTTTTGCAGATACCTTCTAACAATTTCTATTATAGTATTTCTAAAAATGTCTACAAGTTTTTACACAGTTATATTACCAATGGAAACCCACACTAAGCTTTAGTACATTTTTGTAACAAAGCAAGGCAATAAAATAGAAAGAAAGAAGTAAATGGTGTATACTCACCTTTTTATTATCCACTCCTCACACTAGATGTGATGTGAGAACTCGTAAAATTTTAACTATGGGTCCTCGCTCTTGAAACACCTATCCATAAACATATGTTATTTAAGTTTTTTCAAAAATATCTTTATACATATGACGAAAAAATGTTTTCTTAAGTGTTTCTATAATGGGAACTGACAATACATGGCGAATTTGATTATGTTATAATTTGCTGTCACCCGCGACTCCGTTCTTCCAGATTATGGTCTACAATTATGGCAAATTTCAGCTATATACATGTAGCTATTCTTATGATACCTTCTAACAAACATCCACACATCCAAACTATCATTTATAATATTAGTAAGATTTAAGGAATTAATAATAAATGTACAATGAGAACAAAAAACCGCATTGGACCAATTTGTAATCATAATTATTTAGTTAATTTCTTCTTACATCAACGCACCATTAATTACAAACTAATAATTAAATAATACATTTATACAAGATAAAAGGTAAATTATTAATAATAAAATCGTTATTATAACCATGTTCTCGAGCAACGAAGCTCGTTAACATATTCCCTAAGCTTTTTAACAACATTACTAAATACTCTCTCATGTACGTCCTAATTGGATATTTGTTAATAACCCAGCGGAGAAATACTTACTAAATATCATATCGTACTTCTTACTAATATTTCAAATAGCTGTCGCCTGCGACTCTGTCCGCGCGGAATTAAAAAATCATATAGCCTATCTGTTCTTCCAGACTCTTCTATATATGTGTGTGCTAAATCTCATCAAGATCACTCTCAGCCGTTCTGGAGATACCTTCAAACTTTCATCCATCTTAACATTCGCATTTGATGATGCGAAACAAGAAAGGGTGGGTGAATATTTTTAAGAAGGTACCTCCAGAACAACTGCATGGATCTCGCTGAAATTTGGCCTAGGTGTAGAATATAGTCTGGAATATGATATAGGCTACTATTTTTTCTTAATTCCGTGCGGAAGGAATCACTGGCCACGTCTAGTATTTAATATTTTTTTTTATCAGAAAACATTAAATTTATAACAGAAATCTGTTATACTGCGATGTGAAAAATTCCCAGAGCAATTTTGAGTCAATTTTGCGAGTAAGTGCTCGTTACATTTGCATTGAGAGTTGACGAGCGTCAGGAGGTTCGCAGTTACGAGAACTCTCGGGAACAGACGGGAGTAGTTCATGAAAGCTATGTATGCTTGTATTTAGCAAAGTATGTACAATACAGTATATTGCGAGTTACTATTATATATGTATGTGTACATTTCTAAGACGAAGAACTTTAGATATATAACTTTATGTACTTATAAGTTAGTAATTGTGATTGATAAGCAAAAGTTTTATTTACTTGTTTGTATTTAAGTTAAACATAAGTTTTATAGAACAGATTTGCTAAAAATGTATTCTGTTATAAAGGAGTTTTATTACACTTTTAAGTAAAAAGTGTTTTTGAATTTTAAAATAAAGGAATGTTAAACCTAAAATTATTTAGTTTATTCTTCGAGTCTACTCCTGAATACACTAAAACATAATTATTAAATTGAGAAGAAAATCTAAAAAAGTAATCATTAAAATCCCTAAAATATCTTAATCTTACTGTCTTACGTATACCATACATAAAAAAGTTTAGATGGATGGATGGATGTTTGTTAGAAAGTATCTCCAGACCGGCTCAATGGATCTCGATATAATTTGATTTTCATAGATGTGGAACATAATCTGGAAGAACATATACGCTACTAAATATTTTTTTAATTTCGCGCGGATGGAGTCGCGGGCGATTGCGACACAAGCACAATTCAGAATCGGATATTAAAATACGGTAAAAAGAAAGCTTTTTATTTCACGAATACAAAAACAACACTTCACCTTAAACTCAAGTGAATGAAGGTATTCAGGTAAGGAATATCTTAATTATGTAATTCATCTTGCTTCCCAAACTCTCCCTGAGGGATGGCGAACCTTTTAAAAATACTTTCTTAGGTAAACTCCAGTGCTCTGAAAAAAAAATGGAAATAGAAAAAGATAAAAACTAAGGACAAGGGCGGTTTGTTTTAATGTCAAGACATTTTTACTTAACAAAGGAAAATATTGTATTCCTTCATAGAACTTTTGTATTACTACTTTAATATACATAAATATAAAAAAAACAAAAGAGGTTGTATTGTTTAAGTTTTACTAAATTGTCGTTCCATTTTTAAGTTGGTAATAAATATAGTCTATGTCGCCCGGGGATAGTGTAGCTTACCAACAGAGAATTTTTTTTTTAAATAGGATGATTACTTTAGGAGCCTATTCTATACAAACATACAATCAAATCTGTCCTCTTTTTTATTATTAGATAAAACATTTATCGTTGGCTTATTATTTCAAACTTTGACTGATGAATATTAAAAAAAAATCGTATAAATTAAATTACAATTTTTATTGTTCTGAAAGAAAATAATATTAAAATATTTGAATAATAAAACAAGCTTACATTTGAATCACCCTGTAATTCGATACAAAGTTTAATAGAAATTTGTTAACGGTTGAAAAGGTCTGAGCATTTCTATGGAAGGTCCTCTTTATGTTAATCTCTAACCCTTTGCGAACCCTTTAAAGGCTAAATATGGAAAGAAAAAGAATAATATTTTCTTTCCATTCAAAGAGTTTAGGCTGTTTGAAAATGTTATATACTTTACTGCATTGAAACGGTACAAAAATATAGCTATCCTACTCATTGTCTTTGGGAATAATAAAGACAAAAATATGTTTTTTAAATGGTCCTTCGAGTCCATTTTTTTTCCTTTCTACAACTAAATTTATTTCCTTTTGAAGAAAAATGATAGTAAACTTTTTACCTGTTTATTAAAAAAAATAAACATTAAAATTGTATCGTAATACGAACTTGACGTGACTTACCTTTAAAATTATATCAGTGTTTTTTTGATAAGCTAAAGACATAAAATCATTATGTATTTGAACACGCAATTTAACCGTGTTTTAAATTTTTATTTCAAGACGTGAAAATGTTATACTTAAATTAACTAGACGTTTAAAACTTTACATATATTTTTTTTACTCTATTTGAATTATATCAAAGAGAATTATTAACTATACTAGGAACATTCTAAACTATTTGCTCAGATATGTCTAATAGTTAGTAATTTTACACATTATTAATTACAAAGTTCAGTGTCAGAATGAATAGTGAGGGGACATAAACGTCGACATTTTAGTAACGCTAGTGTTGCGCCAATACACTGGCACATTTTCGGATTTTCTTCCTAACAGTAATACATTATTCATCTTACTAGTATTATAAACGCGAATATGTGGATGGATGGATGTTTGTTAGAATGTACCTCCACCGGCTGCATTCAAATAGAGATTGAAATTTAACATAGATAAAGAGCATATTCTGAAAGACAACAAAGGCTGCTAATTAAGTTTTTTTTTATTTAATTCCGAGCGGATGAAGTCGCGTGCGACAGCTAGTATACAATAAAGTTATAAAAAAATACGTTATGTACTATGAAAAGTTGTATAAGAATATTTTTCTTCTTATAGTCTTCTAAAGTCATCCAATAAAGGTATTCAGGTAGGCTTACGGTTAATCGATCGTAGCTCAGTAATGCCTTTGTATGTTCACGGCAGTAAAAGCTCACTGTAGTTTGTAGAGTTAAGCCGAAGATCGTAAAGACATACATGAAACGATTCTTAACTTTGAGTCTTTTTTGCCTACAAGACTCTAAGATTTTTGTGCCACAATTTTGCTTTCATCTCTTAAAAATAATTATAACTAAAAAATCTAAACAAAATTTTGTCTTAGATATACATACTGTATTTTAACCCTTTGACCGCCGGTGATTGATATGATGACCGTCAACGTTATAAAAGAGTTTGTTTTACCCTTAATTACTTCTTCTTCTAGTTCTCCAGCCTTTTGTGGGCCTTGGCTTGGTCCAGCAACTTTTTCCACCTCGGTCTATCTCTGGCCACTGACTTCCAATTTGCTTTGCCCACTTTTTTGCGTCCTCACTTACGCCGTCTATCCATGGGAGCTTTGGTCTCCCTAGACTCGACGACCTTCGGGATTACTCGCCATAACACTCTTAGGGACTCTGGCATCATCCATCAGCTCCACGTGGCCGGCCCATCTAAGCCTGTTCAATTTGATGTGTCTCGCCACATGCAGCTCCTTTACCCTTAATTATGTAACAAAAAAACTGAGTCTGGAATTTTGGTAAACTCCGTATATCTTAATCATATTTAAATAATAACGATTTCTGTTAATACTCGATCAGAATGTGGTAAAAGGGTTAACATATCATCATCTTCAGCGCACTAAACGTTCCCACTGAGGGGCTCTGAGCCTCTCCAAAGTCACTGGTGACTAGGCCATAACATATGTTTAAGCTAAACTGTGTGATTTTTTTAAAGATTTTCTATTTCTTTCATATTTTAAAACAAAAAAAAATATATAAAACCAACTCTTATAAATATTTCTTATCAATATTTCTGAGTTATAATTAACTAAATAAACTTTAAGGGATTGTTCGTATTTGAATTTCAATCAACTTAGTAGTTTACGTCTCAGTTAGTAATTAGTTTTGAGCAAGTTGGGATCGTAAGTGAATTAGTTGCGCGCGTAATTCCTTTGTGATAGAACCTCCTTGTACTATGTACATATTAACAAAGTTAACTGGCATGTAGGTTATACCGAATTATGTTTTTTTATTAAATTCTGAATGAAAACAATAACAATTGAATCTTACTAATATTATAAATGCGAATGTTTAGATGGATAGATGGATGTTTGTTCAAAGGTATCTTAAGAACGGCTGAACGGATCCTGATGAAATTTGGCACACATATAGAACAAAGTCTGGAAGCATCATTAGCTACTAAATATGTTTATTCGGCGCGGACGGAGTCGTAAATTATGCCTTTTGTTAAATCTGAAATTGATTACCATTTTTTTAAATCTTTGACTAACAAAAACTAATCTAACTTAAAAACAATAAAACATTCTAAACTTAATAATAAGCAACGAACATTCTAAATAAACTAGGGTTGGTAAAAAAGGATTGTTCGTTAAAAGAAAATTACAAAAATATCTCGCTAAGATTTTCTTCTTAAAATATAATAAAACTTTTGATTTTTAAGTGCTTATTAAAAATTAAGTTCTCAGAAATTTCATCTCACCTGATATTAGCATCATTTATTAATGAATTTAGTTTCAGTTATTTTAAATTAAAAAATTATAAGAACATAATGAAATCTTCTGGGAAATTATCTTGGGAATAAAAAATACAAGAACTTTATCTCATTTATTACTAGCTATTAAAAGAATTAAGTAGCCTATGTGTTCTTCCAGACTATGTTCTACATCTATGCCAAATTTCAGCGAGATCCATACAGCCGTTCTGATATCTTCTAACAAACATCCATCCAAACATTCGCATTTATAATGTTAGTAAAATTAATATTTATTCAAAATAAGACACAAACGTTCATAAATACTAAACTGATATATAAACACGGCTAAACACTCACGTATATACGTCCGGTGGCGGCACCGACTAGTTTCGAGCCCATCGGAGGCCCTTCATCAGGATGAGTGGTATTATTTCGCGGACGCGGCCCGTCGCTCACTCCGAAGGGCCCCCGATGGGTTCGAAACTAGTCGGTGCCGCCACCGGACGTATATAGGTGAGTGTTTAGCCGTGTTTATATATCATTTTAGTATAATGTCTCAAGAAGTTTGAATAGTTCATAAATACATTGATAAGACATTTACTTAAATACTTAAATACTAAGATCTACTCACAACAATTGTGCAAAGACCATAAAGAATAGAGTGGGGTCATAATCATTTTTTTTTATTTACACGAACAAAGTCAAAAGCAACAGTTAGCTAAAAAGATAAATTGTTACATCAAATCAATTCAAGTTCGATATTTTCATGCATACCTTTTTACGTCAGAGAATTTCCCAAGTGGTCGGTAAATTTGTTGAATTGGTAAAAATATTGACATGCGTACTTCCCATGTTACATAGTTTTTGCTGATAAAATATTATCTTTGCTGAAACGTTTCCCAATCTAATTTCATGACATGAATGTCAGTTGTAAAAATAAAGTTGGTGTTTTAGTTTGATGTTTTAATAAATTATACAAAGTTCAACAAACTCTACATTCGAAATGGTAAAAACACTAAATTACTAAATTATATTTTTCCTTGTTTTTTACGAATATCCAAATTATTATACTAACAGTATTTATTATTTTTATACTCAACGGCGAAGTACTACGCTTTTAAAATATCAAATTCTCCTTTAGTATTAAAGCTAGAGTTAGGAAATAAAAAAAATATTATGTTTTAGTTTTTAACTGTTTTTGTTGATTAAAACGTTAATATAAACCAAGCCATAGCTGTCCAGAATTTGCTTTAATTTTTTTTATTTCATTTCATAAAGCCAGAGGCTTTAATAGATGAGAGAAACTGGAATTTTAAAAGAGTACTAAATAATTTTATCGTCTAGAATAATTTCGATAAATCTATTTTAATATGATTAATTCTATGAATCAAAACGAATGAATACGAATCGACAACAATAAGGTAAAACATAATATATTCTGTATGTCAACAGTGGTAGAGCCCGCTTTAACATCTTCGCACGAATCGGCCCGGCTCGCCCGGTGAAATACCACGACCATACAAAAGACAGGTGTGAAGTGTAAGCAATTCTGCGTTTCGTCTGATGAGTGTGCGACCCGGAGGCCTAATTTAGTCCTCTTTCCCTTCCCACCTTTTTTCTTATAAGGAAAAGATGGGAAGTTGAAGTAGACTTTCCGGATGAGGGGATGCATGGAAAGGGAACATATTTTCTTTCTGCGCATCCTCTCCTCCGTCGATTAAAGGTAGGCAACGCAAAGTACACTACATTGTCCTGGAAATATGTTTACAACAAAACAACCAAGTATCACGTATCTATTACACAGGTGTCTCCCAGGGGATTACATTGGGTCACACTTTGTTTACATTACACACATGGCCACACATGCGTGTAAATGAATTACACTATACATACGAGTATAAGTGTATACTTTACAGCAGTCTTTCGTCAGTCGTCGATAACGCCTCCTTGTGGGCGCTGCAGGTCTCAAGTTGCGGGTTATAGTAAAAGTTTCGTTTAGAATTCTCCGTTAATATACATATATAGGTCACAATAATTAATTTAATTTGAAGTTATAGTGGTTTTTAAATATGTGAAAATATGGGGGGCGCTAAAAATTATTTATTCTCAAAGTGGGCAGTAGACAAAATAAGTTTGGGAACCACTGCTTTACACTATTACACTTAACACCAAGAATTTATTGATGATTCTAGTCTTTGCTAGACATCCATCAAAACTTTTTGTATTTTTTTCTAACCCTTTGTATGGATATTACTATCAAAATGTATTACTTTTTAAATAGTTTCTGAGTCTCCACAAACTTGTTACATCGCATATCATTTGATATTTATATCTAACAACTTGGTATCCTTTATCTCTCATCGGGATATGACGAGGGTGTAATGGATGACAGAAAGACAGTCAAATCAAACAGACGGTGAACAACACAACGTAAAGTTTTAGTAAATTTTCATTACTATAATCGTGTAACTGATGAAACTATAATGACAAACAAAATCAGTGCTACATTAGTTAATCTGATGATACTTTGAATCACGTTAAATACTATCGTTCGCCCGCGACTCCGTACGCGCATAATTAAAAACAAATGTAATTAGTAACCTATGTGTTTTCTCAGATTATAATCTACCTCCACGCCAAATTTCATCGAGTTCCTTTGATCAGTTCTGGAGATATCTTCAAACAAACGTCCATCTATCAATCGACTCATCCCATCTATCTGTCCAAGCATTCGCATTTATAATATTAGTAAGATTAACGTGCAATACTTTTATAATAATAATACCTTAATTAAATAAGGACAGAACGTGACTTTGTTTGTAACTTTACTATCAAATAAACTTTTTCTGGGCAAATCCTTTGAATTATTTATTCGACTCACGATCATTGCGGTTCCCGACTACTAATGTCACTAAACATTTTCACGTGTAAGCCAATTTATTAACGGACCTATATCAACGGATACTGGCAATTTTGGATTAATGTTTTACCAAGTTATAAAATTTAATTAAAAAAAAACTATGCTACACAATTGCTAATACTTTTCTTCAGTGATTTCTTAAATTGCATACATCGTTTGTTTGTGAATATTTTCATCTTCATAATTGCTTTAAAATTATGCTTGTATCATATCTTAAAAGTTAATTATAAAATGCTTTTGTTTTTATATAATCTCTCTGCTACAATAACATATGCATGGAATTAAAAAAAAATTGCCTAGATGCGGTATCGAAAGCTGTATTGCCACATTAGAGTTATGTATAATATTATACATCCATCCAAATATTGGCATTTATAATATTACTAAGGTTAAAACCATAGGTACATTTCACAGGGATTGTAAAGTTTGGAAGAGAATCCGACACCGTGCCCGTATATAGGCACAACACTAGCCTTACTAAAATGTCGACGTTTATGTCCCCTCACTATTCATTGTGAGACTGGACTTTGTAACAAAACCACGTCATTCGCGCCAAAGGATTCTAACTAATAATGTATAAAAGTATGAATGACATTCAATTCGAAATTCGACAATTAATTTGTAAATTTTGCGCAACGAAAATATTTTCGAAACGGTAAGCTAAAGAGATGACGTCGACTTCCATTAGGGGTGTGCGAGCTTGCACACCCCTACGTCTAACAAATTAATAAAATGAAAGGAAATAACGTTTAATTACAGGGTACAGTGAACTTTTCCCTCATCTTTTAATGCGACAAGGTCGCTTCTGTCCCCGTGGGGCGGCGCTGATAGCACTTTGTGTTTATTACGCTTGTTACATTTTATTAAGCGTAATATTCTTGTTACGGTCTGTCTGTAATTCAGTGTCGCTAACTTATTACAGTACCTAACTTAATCAACTTAACACTTAAGTACGAAACATTAAGTTGGACGTGATCATTGAATATTTATCTCACTGTCTAACTCATATTAAATGCGAAAGTTTAAATTGATGAATGTTTGTTAGAAGATATTTTCCGAACGGCTTTCATGGATCAAGCTGAAATTTTGTATAGATGTAGAACATAGCCTGGAAGAATACATAGGACTATTTTTTTAATTCCGCACGGGCGAAGTCATGGGCGACAGTGTAAAGTAAATAAGGAAGATACTAGGAACTTGTTAAATGGAAACATAATCAATGTTTTCATCCCCAGTATATTTAAGTATGTTTATATATTTCTTTTTGTTTCCCACAAAATTTATGTAATACATAATATATGAAATAATAAAATATTTACCATTTCCAATTTCTCGTTACGTTTGAACACAAATTCAATTATAATAGGTAACCCAAGAGAATCAATCAAAAGAACTAAGCTCCAGGGAAATTTCAATGGCAATCCTTATAAAATGGAATCACCAATAGCTCTACATTGGAACGATTCTTACGTAAATCACATTTCATGGCCCCTTTTATGAATAACGAATTGATATTTTTATATTACTAACTTTCCCTTTGACCTTTATTGCTTCAATATTTTATTTGAATGTATTATAACTATTTTTATTATAGAAAAGGTTTTTTTTGTGGAATACACTTGAAGAAAACTGTATAAGCTTTATTCAAATACCAACCTTTCATCGGAATTTTGTTTTATAGTACTAAAGAATATAGTTTTTTTTTTGCAGATAAAAAATCAAAGAAGAAAAGAAACTTTTATTGACGGTGAGTTAGTTTAATTAGCCATAAATATAATTAGCTTTCGCCCGCGACTCCGTCTGCGCGCAATTAAATAAAAACTTAATGAGTAGCCTATGTGTTCTTCCTGACTATGTTCTACATGCAGCCGTTCCGGAGATACCTTCAAACATCCATCCATACGGTGATATCGGTCATTTTATCGAGACTTTTTGAAATAATAAGTCATTTGAGAATATTTGAGTAGCAATTCCTTCAGAAACCTCAAATATTCTCTAAGTATGGGAGCCAAGTCGTAAAGTTTGTGCTGTATCGTAAAGTTTTACTGCCAAAAGGAATTATGTACTAGAAAGTTATGCTTCCCGTAGTCTCTTTGTTTCGATTTGAAATAACAAAGGTAAAGTCATAATCGAAATTAGGTTCATACTCAATGTTATTTTCTTTGACTTTTTATTCACGAAGCAAGTATAGTAAAATTGTTTTGATGATATTATGCAAGTTAACGTGGTTTTATAAGAGTATGTTACCCTTAAATATACAACCAAATCTAACTCCGGTTAAATAATTTGGTATTTAATTGTTGATTAATTCATATTCATGTTTCAATTCTGATTTTTTGATAATATCAGCGATAGATAAAAGAATTAAAATATATTTATATTGAAATACTGTCTGATATCTAATACTGTCTGATATGAGCGTCGGTGGCTCAGTGGTCAAGCACTTGACTTGCAATCTGCAGGTCCTGGGTTCGAATCCCGCCATGTACCAATGTATTTTTCGATTTCCGATTTACATATGTATTATACATTTATCCGACGTTCCTACAGTGAAGGAAAACATCGTGATGAAACCTGCACATATGTGTTAAGGCAACCAACCCGCACTTGGACAGCGTGGTTGACTATAGCTTAATCACCCTTAACTTAGGGTAGGCTCCGAGCCCCTCGGTGGGGACGTATAGTGAGCTGATGATGATGATGACTGTCTGATATATATTTAGGCAAACATTTAGTAGATTTTTAAACTGTCTTATTTCATGATTTGTTAATAACAGATATATAATAAGTTTATATAACAGAAGTTTCAGCTAGGATCTACCATTGTTAAAACCGGAAGCTTACGATATTATCTAAAATCTCATCGTGGATACGAGTCACGTAACGTTTTTATGGCGACGCGAAAAATATTTTCACGGAAACAGCGGACCATTCGGACTTCTACAATTTGCATCTTTAATATAACTTTTAAAATTGCACGTTGTAAAGGAAAGTTTTATTGCTTCCTCAATAGAAGTAAAATAAAAGTTAAGATCAAAAGGTAATATTAAATTATAATTAATTTCTGTCATATTTTGGGCACATAAGAAATTTAGAAAGTTATCTAAAATGTGTATATAAAATGTGTTATATACAGTACCTGGATGACAGAGCTTTGCACGGTATTTTTTTTAATTGTGTTTTTTGGAAATTATATTTAAGTACGAATTACTAATAAAATGATGAAATATGAATAATATTTTTCCATCTTACCGATAGAAAAAGTTTATGTTTAAGTTGATTATCGATAAAACACGAATAAAATGACATTTTCTAAAAATGATTCCTAGCTAGATCGATTTATCGCCCCCGAAACCCCTTATATACTAAATTTTATGAAAATTATTGGAGCCGATTCCGAGATTCCAATTATATATATAAAAGAATTGCTCATTTAAAGATATAAGATAATGAGATTTTATTAATTTATAAAAATTACTGATAAGATTTATTTTTTAAACAAAAGAAGAAAGAAAGAATTTTTAATTACGAAACCACACATGAAGAAAAAATAAACAACATAAAAACCACATTTGCTTTTTAATAAATAAGTAATTGTGTTTTACTTTAAGTAAAACACATCATTACTTAACTTTTGTAAACATTTAAACGAACATTAAGTTCTTAAGCTAACAAAGAATACGTAAAACTTAAACTATCTTATTAATGCAGTTAAGTTACTTGTAAATGAACTCCGGAGGTTAACTAAGCTTAGTTAAGTTTAAGAGGTGCTTAGTTAGCTACTATTACGGGTTGTAAAAGTTAACTGCGGTGTTAATGCTACTATACCTTCTTTGTGCTATAGTTACTAAGAAAATACATGTCATCTTAGGGACAAATGTTACATTTTAATTCTTACTTTCTTGCTAATATTATAAATGCGAATGTTTGGATGTATAAATGGATAGATGTTTCTTAGAAGGTATCTCCAGAATTGCTAAATAGAGCTCGCTGAAATTTGGCATAATGTAAAACATTATCTGGAAGAACACATAGGCTATTAATTATTTTTAATTCCGCGTGGACAGAGTCGTAGGCGATGTTTTTGTGACCAGTAACTTTAAAGTCTGACTGACTTTAACTGAATTTGTAGTTTATGAAATTTCACTATGGGTATTTAATATTATTAAATAATTAATTAACACGAAAACAGTGATATTTTGTTCATCTATGTTCTAAATTTCATCCCAGTTCAGCCGTTCTTAAGATATACGGGAACAAAGTTGTACATCCCTTCATCCACTCATTCACTGCACGAAACTTAGAATTGCTTCATCTTCATATCCGTCTTCTATGTGTTCGTGGTATCACCGGCAACCGTACAATAGATGTTGCTGGCCACTACTGTTCAAGTTTCAATGAGCCCTTTAGATTTTAGAATAATATATTTTATATTTTAACAATGTGAAACGAGTACTGCTTGCTATACAGAGATTTAACAACATCCAATTAGTGAGATTGTTAGCTTAAATTTTAATTTAACAAAAAAGCATTGCATGAAATTTATTCTGAAATTTTTATTCCAATTTGTACGGACTGCTTTTTTCGTTTTTAATTAAAAATAAATATATTCGATGTATTCGAATTGAGGAACGAGAGAACATGATTTTAAATAAAGAATGTTTTTCTTTTAAAATTAAAAGAGAAAACAGTGTCCATTAATCCAGTTTGTTTTACAAAAATACGTTTGTTTATCTTTAAATAAATATTTATAACTATTTGTCATTTATCTATCATAATTTGTAGGTTAATCCTTAGAATTCTTGCTTTTTTAAACTAAAAGCTTCGTTGGAATTTCAACTAAAATCTAAGAGTAATTGGCAAAGTGCATCCTGAATAAACTAACTCAACGATCGATCTTAATTTCTAGAAGCGAGAAACGGGTAACTGAGAAAGGAAACACCCCCTCCCTCTTATTGAACTAAAACGAGGTAACGGGGGAGTCTAAGGAATTGTTTGTTACTTCTTTGTATCATATTTATGTTAATAGATAAAAATAGTTTTATTGAATTATAAAAAACTTAACAAAGAGTTTTAAAATAAAAATGTGGATTTACGAAGTAACAATTGCTTGACACAAAGTAAATGCAAATAGTTACCTCGCGTATGTTTCAACAAGTTGCATTGTGCCCGGGAAAGTGGAGATGGAGGCTTCACCTCTGTACATACACTTGAAAACTCTGAACATACTGTAAATTAACATGTCTCTTTTTAAGTTAACTTTCAAGTTGTATCGGTTTTTTTTATCTTATTTATAGTTATTTTTATGTATTATGGATATTATGTTTTGTCAAATGTTGTAAGACAATCTAATATTATAAATGCGAATGTTTTGATGGATGTTTAATAGAATGTATCTTCAGAACGGCTCAACGGATCTTGCTGAAATTTAGAATCCATGAACATATCCTGGAACAACACATTAAGTTTTTTTTTTAATCAAGCTCGGACGGGGGCGCGGACGAAAATTATTTAGTACATAAAGCTTTAGCATGTAATAGGTCTAGGTATAGTTTGTAAGAAATATAAATCCAAAGACCAAGGTCTCAAAAAATTGTTTTATATTGTCTAACAATTTGAAAAATCGTCATCAGTTCACTATACCTCCTCACCGAGGGGCTCGGAGCCTACCTTAAGTTAGGGATGACTAGGCCATAGTCAACCACACTGGCCAAGTGCGGGTTGGTTGACTTCACACATATCTTTGAATTTCTTCTCAGATATGTGCAGGTTGTATCACAATGATTTCCTTCACCGTAAAAACGTCGGATAAATGTACATATGTAAATCGGAAATAGAAAAACACATTGATACATGGCGGGATTCGAACCCAGGGCCTACAGATTGCAAGTCAAGTGCTTGACTCCTGAGCCACCGACGATTTGAAAAATAAACAATACATATTCCACGTAAATCAATATTTATTTAAAAATATCTGAGAATTTCTGACTTGCACAAATTGAAATACTCCGCTTCGTAGTAAAGCCATTATGTCAGAAGCGAACAAAATAAAAGTAAGAAAACGTCTGCGCTCGGCGTAAGCTTTATATTTCTAAGAAAATGTTGCGAACAAAATCTCATATTTTATAAATTTGCTTAGAAAATAAAATACTATTTATATTTTCTTAAGACTAGTACATAGTTTAAATAATCTGTTTTACGTATTCTTATTATCAATTTTAACAATTTATTTTACTTTTTATTGAAATAAAAATTAAAAGGAAAATTAGAACGTAATTATAGCGTCAATAGCCTAATGGTTAAGGATACGGATTTCCGATCACAAGGTCGGGGGTTCGAATCCCTCCATTCGACTATTGTCGTAAACCATGTCCTAGCACAAGCATAGAGCTTAGTTGGAATGGTAAAAGAAATATTAGTAAATTTACTAAATAATCTGTTAAATTTAAAAAAAAATGAGTATTTGTAGCGAACTTCTATAGAAAATATAACTATGCAGAATTTAAGAGAAGAAGAAGAGTAGAAAAGTTGAAATTACTTTAATTAATTATTAAACGTAATAAAAAAGAAATATTTAAATCAAAAACAATTATCATTTTGTTCTGCAATATAAAGTTTCATCACTTGCCACTGTATACCAGAGGGATGTAATTAAAACTTAGCACAGCGTATAACTGTGGTTACTATTGCACTTTGCTGCGTGAAAACCCTCGGGCTTTGCGGCGTAGAACCTTCGTAGAGCAGAAATGACGTCACCCAAATTGCAACAACTCCATTAACTGCGACTAAACGATGTTGACTGAAACTAGCTCAAACCGAATTCAATTTGAGAAACGAAAATCAAGCTTCATTTGCTTTTGGGAAATTCGAATTTCAAATACTTTTTACTAAATCGGTATAAAGTGAAAAATAATATAATGGACATAAGCATTCAAATTGGATTGAAACTAAAACAATGATGATAGGGTTTAAAAAAACTAACTTACTAGACAAAGCGATCCAAAATGAGCCTTAAGCCTTCGACGACAAAATTTTTCACTTTCTCTGATCCCACGCCATACCGATCCAGTCCTGAAGGCCCTGAAACGACCCATGGGACGACTGAGTGGTCGATAATATGGTTTAGTTATCTAAAATTGGCAGTTGTTTTATTTAGCACAGTCGTCCCACACCATATTATCGGTTACATTAACGAGTACTAACTCATCGATTATTACTCAAATCGAGAAAAACAAATGAGAGATTAGTACATCATTTGTTTTTAATCTCTGCAAAAAAATCTACTCTGTATGAGAGTGTTTAAGTAGTATATTTTCACGGAAAGACATACTCTACTAATATAGTAATTTGCTACACAGTCTTACTATTATTATAAACTAGCTGTCGCCCGCGACTCTTAAAACTTAATTAGTGTAATCCACCCATCCATCCACACCACATCCATCTAAACATTCGCATTTATAATATTAGTAAGTTGAACATAAAGCAGCTCTTCGAGGCATAAATTCGAATAAAAAAATAATAATAAAATGAATAAACAATATCCTATGTCCGTCTCCTGGCTGTAAGCTACCTCCTCACCAATTTTCAGGCATATCGGTAAAGCCTTTCTTGAGTTATAAATAGTGTAAATAACACGACTGTCTTTTGTATATATAGATGCGAATGTTTGGATGGATGGATGTTTGTAGGTATCATCAGAACGGCTGCATGGATCTCGCTGAAATTTGCTATAGATGTAGGACATAGTCTGGAATACATAGGCTACAAATTATTTTTTGTTCCGCGCGGACGGTATCGCGGGCGATAGCTAGTAAAGATATATAATTCTTTATTTAACTTATCCAATTAAAGTTACATAGAACATAGTACATAGAACTTAGCAATATTAAAGTAAACCGCGACTTTGTACATTGTGTTGCTGCAACTTGAAATTACTCGCTTGGGATATCAAAGAGATGAGTTCGTTGCAACAAAAATATTAAAACTTTTCATGTTTGTACTGAATATTAACATAATATAATATTCATTATAAACACAAAAGCTTTATGTGAAGCTTTAGCAATTACTTTCTTTGTAGTTAAATATTTAATTAAATTTGTAAAAGGTAGAGATATTTTATTTTATGTAGTTCCCTCATAAATAAGACATTTTTAAAAGTTAAATAAAAAAGAAACATTAAAGAAATAAGAGATAAATTACACACTAATGCTTTATATTATTTTGTGAGATACTAGCTGTCGCCCGCGACAACGTCCGCGCAGAATTATAAAAAACTTTGTAGCCTATTTGCTCTTCGAAGCTATGTCCTATATTTGTGCCAAATTATAGCAAGATCCATGTAACTATTTTGGAGATATCTTCTAACAAACATCCATACAAACATTCGCATTTATAATATTAGTAAGATACCATCTCTACGTTTTATATACCATAGCTAGATCTATGTTCATATTGTGTAAATCTGGATTACATCGGTACGAATAATCCTATTCATAAAATCAAACGTTTATTATTTATGGTTAGTGAAATGAACGGAGTAAATCCTATAAAAGCCGTTAATACAAAGCTCTAAATGTGTTCAACCGTGAACAAATTGCCGGCAGCGTTATGGAAATCGCTTTCAAACAAATAATTTGGAATAATTGAGAGAAATTATTGCTACTATAATGAGTTGGGGATTCATTTGTTTAATTATAAAATGCAAAATAACTTTATAATTTTAATCTCAATACGTTTAAATTATTTATCCGTGTATTTACGATTCAGAAAAAAAGTACAAAAACGTTTTATTATCTTTATTTAAGAAAAACAAATAAATGTAAAACATATTAGGTATTTAGTCAGATGTAAAAATAAATCTTGCTTTAATTATGCCAGTATAGAAGGACAGTGGCTCTCAATATCGACACTGGAATACAACTGTAATAATGTAAACACTAACTGGCGCCAGTGAGCCAAAACTGACAAGGACAGTTATATTGCTCTACTGTACTGGCATAATGTAAACCAGGCATAAAGTCTAAATAATAATATTGTTCTTTTGTTAAATTACACATTGTAAATTATTAAATGCATTATTTCCCCAACACGTCACGAAATAATTGAGTTTTCAACCTTATTATGAACGTAATAAAGTTTTTAATACAACATTTACGACGTTATTCATAACGCAATTTCTCTTTGTATCTTTCTAAGCAATTAATCATTTGATAATACGGAGGAGAAATATTTAAAGCCCTCGAGGACCTTCCGATGAATGAAATTGTCAGGCGCCGCTCGAATTGTGTTCCAAATGAAAATGTTTGAAGCAATTCCGGGGGATAAATTAGGCTATTTGTCAGAGGTGATTTCAAAGTCAAACGCTATAAGAATGATTTAATGTTTCATTTATTTTTGTTAATAAAAGAAAATACATAAAAACCTGTGTAATTTTTACACATAAAACTTGAATAGGCCTACGGTGCGAGACTTTTGAAATATCTTGCTATTTAAAGTCTACAAAAGGTCCTGTTCTTTGGACGATTTATTATTTATTAACGTCACTAAATTTCTTGTCAAACTAATAATTGAAGAGAAAATATTTGAAACAAAAGTCTTGAATAAGTAAAACTGTTCAACGAAATGCTTTTAGAGAAATCGAATCCACAAATTTATAATTCAAGTGTAGTTGACGAACTTTCTATTTCGTATTACATTTATATTTATCTTTGCTTTAACTATTCAACTAAAATCAATTTCTATTCTGAACCAACTTTGAAAAGGAGGTCGTGCAAATAAAGACCGTCGTACATGTATGTTCGTAAGTTCAAAGTAGTCGACAAGGGGCAGCTAAAAGCTTTTGAATACGCTCGTCTGCTTCAAGATATCCCTGTACGGTAGTCATTAAACATCCGATTTATTTTAATTGTACCTTGTTCATTACTGGTTGTGTTTTGTTATAAATTACGTGTGTTGTTTGTCAAGCAGCAATGTGCGGGTGCCGTGTGGCGGCGTGCGTGGCCGCGCTGGCGGCGGTGAGCGTCGCGCTACCGGGCGCTGTGCTCTCGCTCGACCTCAACAAGCTCTACGGTCATCACACCAAGAGATCCGGTACTTATAATAATTGAATGAATGAATGATAGAGAAATTAACCATAGAGTCGTTTACTTAACTAATTACCTTCCTCTCCATTCCAATTCAAAAATTTACTGTACACCCTAAAGGGGAATTACCGTTTCATCGTTGATTCACAACGAGCAGTAGTACCAACAAAACGACAGCGGCCGTGACTTAATGACACCTAAGGCGTGGCCAAGTAGGTCGCCTTGCTACTCTCTACTTTTATAATGATATTTAATGGTGTGTCACTTTGCCTGTGGTATTGAGGACATGAGTCACATTTATAATATTTTATCACTTAATGGTGTTGAACTGTCGTAAGTACATAATACAAGTTTAATGTCAATGGGAAACATTTCTACACGATATAAATTTTTAAAACAATATTTGCGGAGCTTTTTAATTTAGATACTTGGTTGTTCTTTTTTCAAAAGGCAAAGTATTTTTGAAATGCGATTGAGTTTTTGTGTAAATTATCCGACATCCGAAAATAGGAGGTTCTTAATTCGACTGTATTAATCTTTATAAACATATATTAGTGTAAATGTAACTGAAAAGGTCTTAAATACGACAATAAAAAGATTGGTCGGTATCGTATGTTTGAAATAATAATATTCTTTCATATTTTAAAGTGAAAAATTGTTAATAAAGCTAAAAAAAGATAAAAAAAAATACTTTCCGAGTATTTTCAATGTAAATAAAGGTGAAGACCAAACAGTGAGAGTCCGTGTTAATGTGTATGACATAAAATGAAACTACTATGGTTTTTACAGTGGAGAGCTCACTGAAACGAATTAAAAAACCCACAATTATAGCCACACTCTCCTTAGTTACTAATTTCATTTATTTTCACTAGATGGCGTGAAACTATATCGTGATTTTTTTATCAATAATAATTGAAGACCACGGTGTAACTATATTTCTATATATAGTGTTTATGATTTATTTTCCTATTAAACTCATATTAAAACAAAATCATTAATTAAAGAGGTTAATTAACTCAAAAGCTCTGTTAATATCGCTTCATATCAATTTAATTGAATGAAAATTTTATTAGCATTAAAATGATTTGAAATATTTTCTAACGCAAACAAGAAATTCTCGCAATATAAAATTAAGTTATAAATAATTTAAGTCAACTTGAGATGAAGAGCGGAGGATGCAAATTAAAGCTACGTTCTTTTCTCGCGAAGGAAAACCACTTTATGTTAATTAAAAAATAAAAAGGTGTTTTCATTTTGCTCATTTCCCACAATTTGCCGCATATTTCTTGAAAAACTTAGTTAACATTTCGTTTACACGGAGTAATATAATTATTTTGTTTATTAAATATATAAATGTAATCTCTGTTCTTATATGACTTTTGTAGTAGATGTAATAATTAAAAAGCTGTAATAAATTAAATGTTATTAAGGTGAACAGATATAACAAACATATTAAACGTAGGTAATAACTGGTTACAAAAAACCTTCATTACATTTATTTATATTGCTTGAAATGAACGTGAGCTTGATAAAAGATAATGTCCGAAAGTACACACACACACACAAAGCTGAATTGTCGACGCGAGTCGTCTTTTCGTTTAACGACTACATGTCAACTGTTTAGATTTGATCCGCCATCTTGAAAATTGCAGCGACTGTTTTGGGGATAAAAGATATAAGTATCGGCGACACGCACTGTGCAAACTTCTACGACACGTTACCTTACGTATTAAGGGACAGTATTCAGCCAAGGCATTTTATTTAGTTTAATAGCCAAAACTCGGATCTTTTGAAATAACTTATGTGCATCCTCTCCTCCGTCGATTAAAGGTAAGCAACGCATATGCAATTGCGTATGTCTATGGGCAACGGTCACTTCGCTATTTCAGCGATTTCAGGTGGCCGCTCGCTAGTTTGCCACCTTATGATATAAAAAAAAACTTACTCGACTACTTTAACCGATTGCATTTGTTTTGTTCAAACTTTTGCTATGAATATATAATCTAACAATTTATGTCATTCTCTTAATAGAGTACTGTCACCCTTACGAGCCGTTTAAGTGCCCAGTGGATGGTAACTGCATTTCTATCCAGTACCTGTGCGACGGCGCTCCTGACTGCATCGATGGATATGACGAGGACTCGAAGCTGTGTACTGCAGGTGAGTACGTACAGGTGAAATTAAGACGTATTACACGTACGGGACAATAACTGGTATTATAAAATCTCCGCAACAGTCGCTTTCTTTTGAAAAAATAGAGACAGAATTAGTAATTCGGAAAGGCTAAAAAAGACAACCGTCTAATAACGTAATATGTGGTATTTTAAATATATTCATTTAGGAAAAACGAGGTCACTTTTGTTTTAATTTGTTTGATTTATAGGTTTTACCCTCTAATACTAAGGTTATCTCGCTTCAACATACGTTGATAGTAAATGAACTAATCAGATTGGTATAATTTATTCACTTGAACAATCTATAATAGTTTATATCTTCATCATCATCATCATCAGCTCACTATACGTCCCCACCGAGGGGTTCGGAGCCTACCCTAAGTCTATATCTTATTGTGATATAATTAGGTAAATATTTAGATTTAAAAATTGCTCAAAAAGAAAAACATAATTAAGTTATATTATTTTATACAATGTTTTTCCAAGAATAATATTGTCCTAGCGCTACGCAACTACGAAAGTGCTACGAAGGTCTACGGCAAACAAACGGAGAACTTAATTGCTCCGTCCTTACTTGACACAAAGTTTGCTGTTCAATAATTTCAAGCAATTAATTTAACTATGTAATAAATATTATATTTTATGCTTTTTCAATTAACCAGACCATTCATAATAAAAAAATGGCGTAAGGTAAAATTTTACTTAGGTACGTTTTCTAAAGCTCTGTGTTAATTTAGAAAATAGGTTAATTATGTCGTAACTCGATACATAATTGTGGGTTTTTATTCACGAAATACATGTTTGTAAATTAATTTCTTCTTGTTTTAAAGTGAATAAAGCATGCAGTTCGAAACATTACCTTTTTATGAAAAATCTTATATCTAATTCCAATCTATAGCACCTAGATTAAAGAATCCTGGTTCCTATATAACGAGCCTCGAAACTTACATAGCCTTATTATGTAATTAGAATATTTTTATTTTTTATACCTTAATTTTTATGTTTATTAAAATAATATAATGTTGTCTCAGTTTTTCTCATAGAGAATGAAAGGGATATGAATATATTTTGTATATTTGTTTCGGCGAAGTAAAGACAAGGTTCTAACGAATCGCGTGACCTTTGCAAACGCGTCGACATGTTAACAATTACGTATCGGTTGACCTTTCACGAGCCACTCGACGTCTGCCGAATATAGATTTATCAAGTTGTCAGACTGTATACATTTTATATTTATTTTTAACAAAATACAGCGTACAATGTAGAGTTTTAGCGAAAGCAGTGGGCTTGTTAAGATGTACCTTGTCATAATTCGTGAAACATAATTTTAAAAAATATATCTTTAAATGAATATACCTATGTTTTTGTTTTCATAATTTTCTAACAGATGGCGTTAGAAATACAATAAAATTCTAATGAAATGAAAACTTCCATCTTTCTAGTAAAATCTAAACGTAAAATATACCACAAAATTATAAACACTGCGTTTTAGTATGTCTCTCTTTGCTGTCTCTATCTCTTAGCATTTATATTACGATAGAAAATAAACAACCTTATATATGTATAACATTCCCGTGTCACAATGTCAGTTACCATATGCGTCCGAAACGGCTTGGCCTACTACTATCTATTTTAATACCGTGACGGAATCGCATGCGACGGCTAGTATTTCCTAGTTTCCATAGAAGTCAGTCACATGTATACATTGATACAACCAACAAGAATATAACATTAACTTTTGTAAACTCCCTTCCCTTGCGTACGGACTCAGTATGATTTATGTCTCACAAAGTTCTAAAGTCCTGGTAAATGGTAAAGCTCGGATAACAAAGACGAAACGAGACGGTTAACGGTTCCCAAGAGTTAACTAACTTTGTTACTGGTGATGGAGAGATGTACATTGTAAGACATTAAACAGCCTAAAATATAAACAGGGATAATAGAGGGTGATGCAGGCTTATAGAGAGGTTTTATAAGGGGTGTTCCTTTTTAGATTTTTTAGTATCACATTTCAATTGAAAAAATGTTATGCATTTTACTCTTAGTGTCAAACGTAATTTGTTTTACAAAAAAATTTGTGGGTTTTTCGTGCTTTTCTGAGAGATTGCATTACTGTGCGTTTCCACCGGCTAAACACATACAGTAATACGTGATCATCTCCGGTTTATCAATTATTTCGTTAGTGGAAATCTTAAATTAAAAATAATATGATGAATCCAACTTAATTTATAATGCATATTAATAAGAACATTTATTTTAGTTCCTGGTAATTTTATGTTTGTTATATTTAATTTTCCTTGTCCGTACGTCAGTCATTATCGTTATTAATTTGCCGGAAACTATCGGCCTATTTTCGCGCTCTATTTCCCAACACTTCCGGACACCGAACACACGCAACAATTACGAAGTAAAATTACGCCATTATAAGCATGAAACTTATTAAATTTTGCTTTATATTCATACAAGCAAAATCCTCAGTATCAATTACATAAATAAATCAGATCAGTTATACCAAAGGTAAATTAAAAAAAGAAAATTAAAATTTCAAAGCTATTTTCCCAACAGGAGAGTGCAATTTCCATTAAAAATAACAACCTCCTCGTGCCGCTAGAAAAGCTATCAACTGAAGGAAATTATGTTTTTTTATTGTTTTATTTCGAACGCTTTGAATCACATTTCAAGAGAGAGCTTTGAACACAAAGTGGATACCAGAAGCAATTTTGTAGCGAATCTTTTGCAGGATTACGTGTTACTTCAGAGTACATTAATAACATGATATTTATTTTAGTAAGAAATATTCGTAACCTTGAACGTTTTTTTAACTATAATCTACCTGATACTAGTGCAATACTTTGACTTTAAACTATACTGTACTCACGATACTGGAGTATAGTTATAATAATAACACAACATAACCATCTGCAAGAGAGGTAGGGTCACCATATTAGTCAGAAATCCAAGTGTGACATACATTCTAACATCTGTTTATATAAACAAAGTCAATAGAGCAACCGTATCCATTGATTATTCTGAAATACCCAAGCATTTTGGACACCGGAAGTGAGGGCGACAACATAACTAATTAAAAGTATTTAGAGTTTTAAATTTTACCTACTTTGCAGCTAAGAGACCACCGGTGGAAGAAACTGCATCGTTCTTGCAATCCCTGCTGGCGTCCCACGGACCAAACTACTTGGAGAAACTATTCGGCAGCAAGGCTCGCGACGCATTGGAACCTTTGGGTGGTGTTGAGAAGGTCGCCATCGCTCTCTCTGGTACGTATATGATGAAAGATAATTAGTTTAATTACGTATGTGCGCTACTTCTAAAAAAAGCTTCTTCTAATTATAGACAAAACAGTTTTATTGTGCGTGCAATTGGAAATTTTAACAAAATCTGCAACAAATATGATTTCGATCCATTTATTATGAGTGTATCCTCGGCACGAAGGTGCCTAGCACTAGACTTTTTCAAATAAAATATATACGTGAACTGCTACTACTAATATTAATGTTCTACTATAATTTAGTTTTTAACTACATTGTTATATATTACTATAGTTTAATACTAGCGATACTTGTTTGTTTGCTCATTATAGATATAATATTGTTATAAGTGAAGACTTGTCATTGGCTCTCAGTTGTCTAGTCTATAGTTAATAAGATTATTATAGCTGTAAGTTTTCCATGTAAATAAATAAATAAATAAATAAATAAATAAATAAATAAATAAATAAATAAATACTATCACTACAAAATATGGTGTATAATGAAAAAAAAAAGCTTCAATGATAGAAAGAGAAAGGAATAAGTAAGTTAGAAAAAAACACTAACGAAGTAACAGACAAAGTTACGCATTTTATTTTAATAATAAATTAAAATACTTTATCACAGCATTAGTTAAGAATTGAGTACGAATTCTTAAGTAAAATTGTGAAATTTTTGCTTTCAGAATCCCAGACCATCGAGGACTTTGGCGCGGCTCTCCATCTGATGCGATCTGATCTGGAGCATCTGCGCTCCGTATTCATGGCAGTTGAGAACGGCGATCTTGGCATGCTTAAATCCCTCGGCATCAAGGATTCCGAACTCGGAGACGTCAAGTTCTTCCTGGAGAAGCTGGTCAACACCGGTTTCCTTGACTGAATAGCGCCGGAGTCTGCCTCTGAATACTACCACGTCGTCCAATACGCTCCCATCAGCTCATCCTTCTATAGCTATCTTCCTTATGACTTCTATAAGAGGAATTAGGAATTCCTAACTCTCTTTTCTCTAAATCTTTGTGCGATTGATGTTTGATTCAGATCCAAATTCAAATTGTACTCGTTTTTTAAATCGATTTCTACAACCGGCCACGTAGACTCGATTTTTAAAACGATTAAATCTCAGTATTGCCATCTAAAATTCTCGGTATAAACGGAGCAATAGTTAACAGTTCATTTAGATGTAATGTTTTAATTTTACGTAACTCTATATTAGGTTAGGTATATTTTTATAAAGCTTCTAAAACTGTATAGCTAAGAAAAAGTTACATCGGGGACTAATTCTCGCGTCTATAAATTTTGAAATGCTATCGATAATCGACTAAATAAAAAGTCAAAGCTTTATGAAAAAGCAAATTCTGAACAACTGAATGATAAAGCTTGTTGCTTAGCATTTCCACCCTGGATGTAACTTTTTACGTATGTGTGTATGAATTCTGAATGTCGCCCTTTCCCCCTCTTTCGGAACATTATCTTATCAAATGACGTACTTTAAAATTTCAGAGGCGACTCCATCGACGCGGCGTCCATTCTGAGCTAGATATAAAGCAAAAGGAAATTGTCCCTAGTTAGGAATTATATTAAGAAAAGGTAAAAAAGATAAAAAGAATGCATGCGCTTTATATCTGGCTTTTGAAAAAATCCAGTTTAGGACCATGGATACATATCATTTTAAACTTAAGATTTAAAAAAATATATCGTAGTTTTATCAGTAATAGTATAAAGTATAATTATTTTAATATCGGTATTGTAGCATTTATTGACATTTTAGAATTCCTTTTAGCGAAATCGAAAAACATATCAAAAAGCATTCGTAAGATGCTTGAACCGAAACATATCAAAATTATGTGATTTATATTAGAAAGTGTGTTTATATTAAATGTAGCGCTGCTGTTTCACCTTCTAATAATTCTATATCTTTCATATATGTAGTGTTTAAATATATTTATATCTTCGATGTTGTATAAGTGTTAAAACTTTTGTCAAATGCGGGCTGCAGGTACAACGAATTATTGAATAATATCATCATTTGAATGCGTCATATCACATTCACAATGGATGGCATTAAGCAAGATCGTTACAAGAAAAAAATATCAAAAACCAAATATACGGAGTTATCAAATTAAACGAGCCTGTGTTTGTCAGAAGTTCATATATATTTCAATCGCCAAATTTAACACCCAAATTTAATTTAAGAAACAATACACGTATTATATATTAAATGTTCTCACATTAGTTGTAAGTATATGTATGTAGTAATTCAAAATTTATTCTACAAGTAGTGTTAGTTATTGGAATGATATCCTTGGAAATAATACAAATATCTTGCATCAGATCTTAGATGTATGTCGATTAAATCTATATCTGTAGATGTTTTAGCTCTATAATCTAATATTCCTTCTTGATTAACATATAATAAATGTATCATGAAATCGTTCGTTTCATTTCTAACCTAACCTAACTTAACTGATATATAAACACGGCTAAACACTCACGTATATTCGTCCCTGGCTCACAGAGTGAGCGACGGGCAGCGTCCGCGAAATAATACCAGTAAATCCTGATGAAGGGCCCCCGATGGGCTCGAAACTACTCAGTGCCGCCACCGGACGAATATACGTGAGTGTTTAGCCGTGTTTATATATCAGTTTAGTATAATGTCTCACGAAAGTTTGAATAATTTAATTAACCTAAATTTTTAAATAATTTTATTGCACAAAACAAAGGAGAATGGCGAATCCAAGCGATTATAAGGGACCACTTCCCGACCACAGATAATAGAAAACATGAAGCAAAAAAAAATCCTGGGTTTATAAAGAAACTACGTATATCTTTTTTCGATCCGTTAAAAATCTTACTAATACTATAAATACGAATGTTAAGATGGATGGATGTTTGTTTGAAGGTATCTCCAGCACAGCTGCATGAATCTCGTTGAAATTAGGCTTAGATGTAGATCATACCCTAAAGCAACACATAGGCTATTTTTTTTAACCGCGAGGACGGAGTCACGGGCGTCTGCCAGTAAAATAATACAAACACGCATCATTTTGAATCATATGAAATTTATTTAAATGGCTAAAAATATATTTACATTTTCTTAAAACATTTTAATTATGTACATTATTTTTACATCATCTCTATCTTAGCTCAACTAATAACAAATTACGTTAAATACTTCTTAATGCATATAACTAATAATCACTGAACTTAGCACGCTTAATTATATTCTTAGTAAGACCATTTTATTACTGTCACGACGCTTTTACACTATGAAAAAAGCGATTAAAAACAATCTTATTAGTCTTTTCAAATATCTTGGTGGCCTAAGGACATTGGCTGCGCAGTGCCCTCCCTTCGCATCCCGTTACGCCACAATATACCTAAAATTGTGTTTTCCGCAGCGACTCGCGTTAAATTCAGAGCCCCCAACATTTTTGAAAACATTTATTATGGATATTGGACACTTATCGAGTTATTTAACCCAATAAAACGTGCATCGTCTTCGTTACTTTAATCTCTAAATACGATTACACCAAATTTACAGTAAAAATAAAAGTTTAAACATAACTAAAAGGTGACCACAAAAATGTACTTGTGACTTATAGGGGAGATTCTACACTAACGTGGTCTAGTACCTAAATATAATTAAAGCTTGGAGCTAAATAAAAGAATATTCACAGACGAAATGCCTAAAAAGCAAAATAACATGAAGAAACACAAATAACCAATATGACCTTGAATATTTAACGTAACCATTGAAAAAAAAAAAACAAAAAAACTTAAGAAGTTCCAACTATTAATGGCAATACACAATTTGTCTGTAAAAGTGTTGAACAAAAACCTAAAAGCAATATTAACAAACATCTTAATGGCTTCTTGAAAGTACATCTTCTTGTGGCTCTAAATACATTGAAACCTTGTCACCTCTCATATATCCAATAAAATGTCGTCAACTTTAGTGGCTGAATATTTAATATGAAGTTATTCACATTTATCTGAAACCGATTTTATCGGTACACGAAATGTCGGGTGTTTTTCAATATTAGATAATTTTGGACCACATCCTTGATAGGATTAGATGACCGACTAATGTCAGAAGCGCATACAAATGAGAATAATAATTCTCAAAGATATTATGTTGTATATAAAATACAATAGTACATATATCCTTTATTTGATTTATTACTTAAATCAAATTTCTGGCAGTGCTTTTGACAAGTAATACAGATTAAATATTTATTTCAACATTTCACTTTGACTATCTTTAATCAACAAAAGGACAAGGTAATTTAAAACTTCACTTTATGCATAACATACTATAAATCATAAATAACAATTTAAAAAGAGACATTCACAGGCACTTAACGAAATTGTTCCAGATGTAAATGCATTTTATCTTAACTATCATCATAAATATAAAAGATCACTTTTTCCCTCGCTTTTTCGGTGGTCCTTCGTCGACATATTCATCATCTATGTTATAATGAGCATTTATGTGTGCACTTAATTTCTTTTCTCTATTAAAAATTTCACCGCAAATATTGCATGAATATTTGTCTTTTTCTTTAACAACGACATTTTGTGTTTTGGCAATTTGTGTTGATGTAGTTATTTGCGATTCTTGTATAATACTATCAGTTGGTAAAACGTAAGAAGGTTGAAGTAATGGATCGACATTTATAAATGTAAAAAAGCTAGAGTCTTTATTCGGTGTTGAATCCTCTAATATAACTGAAAATGGTTCCTTTCTAGTCTCAGATGCAGGACCCGGTTTAGTCTTTTTCAATCGTTTTTTTGTTTCTTCAAAAGAATCTTGAGGTTTAGTTGATATTAAAAGTTTATTAGGATTCCCTGTTTGGACTACAGTGTAAGATTGTTTTTTCATAGCAGGCGTTGTAAATGGTGCCCTGATATTAGTTTGAAATAACCCCACAGGATATGGCTGACTTGATGATGAATCTGTTCGACACAGTGTGTTATTAGAAACAGATTTGGGCATTGCCTTAATGGGATTACTTTTTCTGGAATGTTCATTTGTATTTTGCGAATTATCATCAGTTGCTTTATCGGGGTTTATAATTACAGGTGTTCCATTTTTTCTATTTTTAGGGATTGAGTCTGATTCGGAATTTCTAGATAGAGTTTCTGTTTCAGCTTTATCTTCAACTAGGGTAAATGTATTGTTTGGTCCAATTACAATTTTATACCTACTAGACGTATTTGGGACAGCCATAAAGTTTAATTGCGGTGCTGTACTAGGATTTTGTTGGGATTGGTTGGAAATGCTTTTATTTGAGTCATCGCTTGATTCAGTTTCTCTAAGAGTTGAATTTTCTGAGCGTCGTCCAGTCTTACTTGCGGGTCCAATTTTTTTCTTAACATTCTGCTTTGGATTACTAGGTTGGGAAATTTCGTTATCCATTGCTGGTTTACTTTCAATGATTTGTTGATATTTATTATCAGCAGTTACTCGTGTATTTATGTATTTAACGGTACTAGGTTTCGGTGGTTCAGGAGGTACATACATATTACATTTATTAATTTTAGGTACACCAGTTTTAGCACATCCATGTGATAAAACTACTTCTTTTTTCAAAAAGTTTCTATTACATAGTTTACATTGAAATAGGGTACCTACACCATTTACTTTAATCATGGTTACATGATCCATAATATCAAAAGGTTTAGAATCCTCATTAGATGTGGAACTATTCTCATTAGTATCTTGCGTTATATTCAATCGTACTTTGCTAGTAACATTTTTAGTTTGTAAAGGCTGTGACATATTTTCTGATGCATCATTTTGAACTGTTTTATTTGAACGTAATGGTCTAACATTATTTTTATCAGGTTTCTTATTTTTTTCTTCATTTATTATTTCATCATCTTTCATATCATCATCATCTTCTTCATCATCTGTTTCTTCCAGTTCTTCAGTTGTAGACTTTAACTCAATTTTAGAATTTATATTTGTCTGATCACTCTTGTTCATGTCTTTTGAAGGCTTGACTATATCTTTAATGCCCTCCATAGCTTTTTTTATAAGTGCATGGCAAATATCATCATTTGACATGTTTGATTTATTCAAAGATTGCTCCCAAAGAGCCCTAGTTTTCTTTTTCATTGGAAGTGGTTCATTTTTTCCTAGTTTTCTACGTAAACTTTCTTGCGTACCAATGCATTTTTGCACAAACTCATAAAGTTCCTCAACTTTTGCGGAACATCGGAAACAGATTTTGTGTGGGAGATCATCATTCTCTGCAACCTGGAATGTACACATTGATAATTTAAAATTAATCATAATTTCTTAGAGATAATCTTTAGAAAATTTGCAAATTAAATGGGTATATAAATTAACATTTCAGAACAGAAACTTAACTCCAGCAAGAACTCCATAATCAATGAAAATGCGCCAACTTGTGAGAATAGATTAGTGGCAATTTTTTTCTTTGTTAAAAAAATATAAACCAACAACCTAAGTGTATACTAAAGTAAATTAAAATTATACATACTTATTTAAATATATTTTTACTTAATAACATTAAATATCACAAACCATTAAGTCCAGCTTTCAGTTCTTTAAGAAGTCTTAACTATACAGTATTAAGAGTGTAATACGGGTATATACATCCCAATTTCTTACCCAGAAAGGCATTAGCTCCTCAATTTTCTTCGCCGTGACTTTTTCTGAGTCAAAAATGTTGTGGAAAGGGCCATCTTTTGATTCACACAATCGGCACACTTTGAGAATTGATTGATTAACACTGACTATAGCTGAATTAATTGCTTCTGCGTTAATTGCATTATAATCTGGGATGTTCGCTACCTTTGTAGAATTAGATGTTTTTGATTTACTTTTAATCTTTTTCTTAGCCATTTTGTTTCAATCTTTCTAAAACATGGACACACTTCAATTGCCTTGCTTTGATTTGTTAAAGTTGTTGTTATTTTTAAGCTTTTGCATAATTAGTAGCTTGACTCTATATTAAATGCTTTCTCATATGGTGTTTTAATAAAAAAATATTAAAATTACATGATACTGTACGAGATTGTACGATACAAAAAAAAGTTCTTACACAGGATTCTACAGAGTATAGAAACTTATTTGACATTTCATTCAAAGACTAAGGAAATTATTTTTTTATTTAATTTAGTTTGTCCAAAGAGTCCAGTTTTATTCAATGCAAAGCAGATAATAAAGATGCAAAGTAGATAATAAAGCACATAAAACTAAAAACTAAAATCACTCGAACTTAATCCCAAATCGTGTCCCGATGTCTCAAACTAAACTTAAATAACAAAAGCTAATTCTACAAGATTATTATCAAGTTTAACCAAAATAATTCAGATTATAATGGTGTAAAATACTGGGTCGACACCGAATAAATCAAATTGCGTAAATTGTGCAGTGATTTTTATTCGAGGATGTCATTTTGATGATAAAACAGACTGTAGGATACTTAATTAAATGCATATTGATACGTATATCTTCTTTTCTCAAACCCTTTTTTAGATTGTATCAGAAATCATAATTTTTTAGATTTCAATAAAACACGTATTTTTGGAGTGGCAATTATTTCTTTTGGTCAAGTCCGCCATCTTGAATTTAGTATTGTGCCAGTCGGGGGGGCGGTGACATACTTTACCCGTCATCGTCCTACATATTATTTTAGTGGATTTGTTAAAAGGGAAAAATAAGTGATTAATAGTGTAAATAATTAGTTTATGTCAGGTCTGAACGTGAAGATGGCGGGGCAAACAATTAACGACAGGCTTTTAGCCGCTCGCCACAGCATCGCTGGGCAAGGACTGGCGAAATCCGTTTGTAAAGCCACTACTGAAGAAATGATTGCACCTAAAAAGAAACACTTAGACTGTAAGTATTATGAGGAACGCGATTGAAATATGGTTATCAGCTTATCAGTATATAATATAACACTTTTACAACGGTGCGCGACATTCGCGAAATCTCCGATGAGGTCGATAATTCGTGTATCGTAGTCGACATTGACCGCTTCATTTCACAGCAAATTACACTTCAAGAAAACTACTTTTAAATACGCTACTAATTATGAAATTGGTTTATATAATTTTGTCTTGTGATCAGATTGCAACCTGACACGGTTTTCTTATTATGTCATACGAATAAATTTTCCGTGACTTGACGGTGTAACGAAAAAAACTGAACCTCTCTTGAGAATTAACTGTAAAGTTGTATAACGCTAAAACAAGATAAAAATTATATATATTATATGTACTGTGTTTCATATAAATTAAATATTCAACTCATGATAAATCAAAACCGGTTTATTTATTAAATAATAGATGGCATTTAATATCATTCCTTATCATTATTCCAATAGCATTTACTGGTGCTTAAAATTCTGAAATATAACTTATATCACTATTACTAAAGCCAATTTTAATGTTTGCTTAAATGCAAAAAAATAATTAGAGATTAAAATATATTCTGTCTATAATACCTAACAACTATCTCTTGATAAACCTAAAAATATGATCCACAGATAGAGAGTCATTTGTAACCTAGACAATTTTATATAATAAACACTTATAAAATATCATAATGCTACTTTGGATTATATAAATTTAGGTACATTTTATTATTAAAGGTTTATTACATTTCTCAAATTCAAAATTTAATCACATTTAAGACTGACATATACCAATACTTTAAAAGTAACATTGGCTTTTATCTTTTTCTAATTATTCTTTGTCATTGAATTGATATGAAATGATAAAATTATAGGTGAAGATAATTCTATGTTTATTTTAATGTAACATTTAGCAGTCATAACATTTTAGAAGATAATAAACTTTTTTCTAGAAATAAATCTGTAAATAATATCATTGGGATAAATTTCCTCTTCTTTGATGTCAAGGAGTAGCATTAAAGTGGAAAATACAATGAATTACTTTTAATAATTATATACTGTTCTGAGTGGAAATAGGTAAAAGATTTGTGTACTTAACATAGTATATTAATAATTGTGTTTTTGCATTTAGCATAAAACTCAGTATAATATTTTTTTATCAATATCATGAAAACTTTATCTGAAATTTATGGTTGCACAGATGAAAATTTAATTACTTAATTATTCCTTAGAGCTATTGAATGCAGTTAAATTATAATTAAAATCAACAGAAAAAAAGCTATGGCCCAAAATTATCTAAATGGAAAAATGGCTAAATCTCTTGAGTTTTATATTTCATAATCCTGCTTGTCCTAGCAATTTTCTTTTGACTATTTGCTTTTTTATTTCAATTTCATCTCAAATTCAAATCCCTCAAGTTCATATAACAATTTTTGATGACCATATATAGCACAAAATTGCCATATAATTTCTTGTGCTGCCTAAATTTTGGCACTATTTCTTCCTGGCATTGATCCAAATTGTTAAGCTGTATGAAGATGTGGCACCATATACATTTATCATTGACATCAATTAGAATTGATATTACATAGGATCCTTAAAGAAACAACCTCTTTCTTAAAGGTTGGCAATGCATCTAAAATTCCTCTGGTATTGCAATCTAAGGGTGTGAGATTTTATTTATTTATTTATTTATTTATTTGGTTTGTCAACAAAAGTACATGAGTTCTTATATACATTTTTGGCACTATTACTAAAGGTTTTAGGAAACATGTAATTTCACTTACAGACAAACACAGCATGTATAAAGTATTGGTGCATAAACAATAAAAAATAGAACAAAAGAGTATGAAAATTACAAACAAAATTTAACTAAAAAATCTGAATTAAATGAGTAGGTATTAAAACGAATTGTAAATTAAACCAAAATTAAAAGCGTGTATACAGCAATATACATACTTTCGCAAAACAAGAAACAGAATGTTAGACGTCTGCGACATCACTAGGATTCAATACACCAACTATTTTTGATTTAAATATGGGTAATTTGTCATGGAATATATCGATGGAGCTATCGTTGTTTATAAAGTGTTGCAGTAATCTGCACAACCTCGGAATTAGAGAATGGTGGCCCAAATTTGTTTTATATGTTCTGTGGGTTAGAATGGTCTTTGTGTGGCGCGGCAAGCGGGCTGGGACATCAAAGGTGAGACGACTAAGCAGATCTGAATTATCTATTATATTGTTTAATAGCTTATATAAAAAAGACATGTCCAGTAATGTACGCCTGTCGGATAACTTCATAAGGTTAAAAGCTTTAATTCGGTCGGAATAAGGTACTCTTATATTTGGTCCATTAAAATAGAAATAAGTAAATCTTCTTTGTATAGACTCAATACGGTCTTTATGAATCTGATAACTTGGGTTCCATACAACTGAGCAGTATTCAAGCTTGCTTCTCACGAGTGCTGTGAACAAAAGTTTTTTGGTGCTAAATTTTTTGAACTCCTTGCAGTTTCTAAACACAAAACCCAACATGCACCTTGCAGATGTACATATGTTTTCAACATGCTGCTTAAAATTTAATCTAGAATCGAATGTGACTCCTAGATCACAGACTACATCCTGTTCAGTCAATACCACACCATTAATTGTGTAAACTGTTTGTATAGATTTGCGATTACGCGTAAATCTGATAAAAGCGCATTTTTGTGGGTTTAGAGCCATATCATTTTTACGAGACCACTCAGCTAATCTATCCAAGTCCTCTTGGAGAGCCCTACTATCACTAGGCGATCTTATTTCTTTCGCAATCTTCAGATCATCAGCAAAAATATAACATTTCGAATTATGAATGCAATCCAAAACATCATTTATGTAAACGTTAAATAAGATTGGTCCCAGTATAGATCCCTGAGGGACTCCCGATGTAGATCTGTAAGGCTGTGATGCATGGCCTTTCACTACAACAAAGGATAACCTATCCTTAACATATGACGAAAGCCATGACAGTACAAACCCTCCAAAACCAAAGCTAGACATTTTTTTCAAGAGTAGCGAGTGATTGACTTTGTCGAATGCTTTGGAGAAATCTGTATATACTGTGTCAACTTGAACACGCGAGTCAACAGAATCTGAAAGAAAGGTTACAAAGTTGGTTAAGTTGGTAGCAGTAGATTTGCACTTAGTGAAACCATGTTGAGCGTCAGAAATTAATCGCTGGACGTGACGAACAAAAATTGGACACAACATGGCTTCCAACATTTTTGGTAAAACTGAGATCAGTGAGATAGGTCGATAATTAGTTATATTGCTACGGTCGCCTTTCTTGAAAATAGGCACTATTCTAGCATGTTTCCAGATGTTCGGATAAGTTCCGGATTTTAAAGACTCGTTATAAATGATACTAATAGGCAGGGAAAGGGGTTCTGCACACCTCACCAAAAATATAGGAGGTAGATTATCAGGGCCAGTACCTTTAGATAAGTCAAGTCTTTTTAGTTTCTTGAAGACCTCGAATTGAGTAAACTGGACATGGCAAAGAGAAATGTTTGAAATCGTGTTAACTGTGCCATCGCTTGTAGAACAATTCGATTCGTATACTGACGAAAAGTGTTTTGCAAACAAATTGCATATGGCCACTCCATTTGTTGCTATTTGGTCGCCTAAAACCATTCTAGAAGGGTATGTGTTCGGAGATTTTTTTATGTTTTTTAGATGTGTCCAAAAATATTTTGGATTTTTTGAAATATTTGATTCAATCCTTTCAATGTAGCGATTATATTCTTTTTTAAGCAGTTTATTACATTGTTCACGTAGGTTGGTAAAATCTAAACTGTCAAGAGGATTTCTGTACTTTTTGTATTTCAATCTAGATTTATTTTTTAGTCTTAATAAATTTATAAGCTTTTTAGTAAACCAATGTGGATATTTACTGCTTCTAGGTTTATATTTGGGTACAAATTTTTTAATTACATTGTCTAATTCAGAATAAAAGGTCATTAACATGGAATTTACGTCATTGCACTTTGAAAACACATCTATCCATGATATTTTATTTAGGTCCAAGATTATGT